ATTATTCAAAAATGCCGTAGGACCCTGATTCGCAAACGACCCTGTTTGCGGAATTTCACCAGCTAAGTTATTGTTCCTAAGATCAAAACTCACAGTAAGTGGCAAATCACCCAACGTTTTTGGAATTTTCCCTGAAAAATGATTGAATGACAAATTCAAAGTCCCCGAAAGTGACTTCAATTCTCCTATATCTACTGGGATCGAACCATTAAATTCGTTCCCTGATAGATCAAGCTGCACCAAATTGGCAAGTTCCGGGAAGATCCCCTCAGGAATCTCGCCGGAAAAATCATTTCTGGCGAGAATAAGCCTCTGCAACTGCCGACAGTTCCTCAGAAACTTCGGGAGCGGCCCGGATATGGAATTATTCGAAAGATCAAGATTTTGTAGGTGAGGAAGGTTACACATAGAGGGAGGTAGAGGACCGCTGAGATTATTACCATAGAGAAAGATGCTGTGAAGTGATGTAGCATTGAACAGTTGATCGGGAATTGACCCAAAAAATTTGTTATCATGAAAATTAAGCCGCCGGAGATAAATCAAGCTGCCAAGCTCCGACGGAATATACCCCCGGAGATTCTTACCGGCAACGGATATGCCTACTACACGCGGGTCCGCCGAGCCGGAGATGTTCATGCACGAAATTCCACTCCAGCGGCACGGCGTTGCATCGTTCTCGTTCCAGTCGGCCAAGCTTGCGGATGCGGAGGCGGCATCCACGGCGGACTTCAAGGAAAGCAAAGAGAAGCCGTCGGAAGTCAAACAAACTCCAAATTTTATATCTCCATTAGAATTCAACAAAACAACAATGGTTAAAAAACACAACCTTTGCAAGAACATCATGGTACAAAAGGCACAGCACAAATCAAAACACAAAAAGGGGATTGAAAAGGCTGTTATGCTTTGTAATTTTGCATAGTGTATTCAATGGTGGTGGAGGAGTGGTGATGCTGGTGGGGTTTGGCAGTGAGGGAGTTGAGAATTTATGAGAAAAAGACTGGAGTAGGAGGAGGGGTTCTAATTACCGGGCTCCACATCCACTCTGTGTAACAGTAGTAGGGGGTAAGTGGCGAGGAAGTAGAAGAAAAGCAATGTAGCTTTTAATTGCAATTATTTGTATATATCTATGGTAATTTTACCAGCAAGGAACTGTGATTGAGTCAAACTTTTAATTTCAGGGTTGACTAAAGGACTAGTGGATGTATTGTATTATGTTCAATGGACTTCGATTGCAACCAATATGAATAGGTTTGGAACTGCGATCGTAAAAATAAAGGTGTAGTCTATAGCAAATTGAAAGGTTTGGAAGAATTTTCCCTTTTTTTTTAAATTTTGAACTCGATATGAGAGAATTTTATTTCTAAAAATGTTGTTTTTGTTATTCCTCCACCAAGAATTTGTACAACTGTTTTGAAATTCATCAATATATAAACTTAATTTGTTGCTATTGTATGTTACTGTTTCAGGTTCTCTTCTTTAAAGATCTAAAAGAGAAAAAAAAGATTGGCTTTTAATGTATCGTTTTCTTGAATTGAAACTTTACTTGAATAACCATTTTGAATGGTTATATCGCGAATAAATTTTTCTTGATCTAGAAGTAGACATTTTTATCCTTCTTCGTTTTGATCCTTCTACATTGAATTTTGCATTGTTAGTTAGGAAGAAAGATGATCCGTCAGTAGATTCTACTTTGTACATATCATATAACGAAAGCGATCTTGGTTGCATGCAATGTAATTGATTCTCATTTCTTTTTAATCACACATTTTGCATTAAAATAATATTAAATATAAATAAAAAACATTTCTTTATTTTTCAATCACATATTTTCTATCAATCTACTATTCTAAAATACATTTTTTCATAAAAATGGGCTCAAACTATATCTATTGGATAAACAATTATAGCTATCGATTTTCAAGAAATGAATAGTGGATTTGGCTCGTGATGTGGAACATTTCTGGGGTCAAAACCAAGGTGTGGTCCATTCCATAGTAAAGACTTGTAATAAGTTGGGGTATGTTGTCCTATGGGTTTGGTGCTACCTTGATCCGTATATTCTTCTTAATTATTGAGGAAGGGAGTAGAAATATTTCATAATAAGTGTATAGATCCTAGGACCTTGTATTGTGTAAATACATTAACCTATTGGGATTCCTAAAGTAATATTATGGAATATTTGGTAAAATAAATTAAGAAGCATTTGATATTATTAAAAACGGAAAAAAAATATGATTACATTTTTTTTTATATATATTATACATCAAATATGCACGAATATAACACATCATAAATCTTTTCAAAGGGGGAGGAGGTAAGGGATGAACGAGGATGATGAATATATTGGCACATATATGGAGAAAAGATAAATCGTCCATCATTATATCTTAGCATCCCTTCCAAGTAACCTAAACATCATCCTATGCTAAAACAAAAAATGCATAATTTGTCCAATTCTTCCACTTTTATACAAATAGTAATATATAAGTACTTATTTTCTCTCTTAATTGACTTTTTTTTCTTCTCTCCTATAGAAAAATACTCAAAACCCACCATTTACTTTAATTATTTAGTGGAAGTAGGGATGATTAGTTCACACACCCAATCATGAAAACATGCTTAGAAGCAAACAAAAGTGAGTGTTTAATTGTCTATGTATCATTCATCACGTAGAACAGAGCACTTAGATATTGGGAAAACAAATATTTTTATCTTATTGGGGATCTGTCCAATGGCATGTGGGAATATGGCAGTAGTCCATTTATGTTCCCAAGTTCAGCCCCTAATGGTCCAAGAAATTGAGTTACATTTATCATTTATGCCACTGAACTTAGAATAGTAATGCTATGCAGCGTCCTATCGACTGTTAGTACCCGTTTAGATGGTAGTGAACTCCACTGGTTCATTGATCTATATCATCTATTGTTCAATAAATCGAAATGCAAAAGTGATAAATTCTTAGCTGATGAGTGTATTTCACTCATTGAATTAGCACCTCCAAAGCATAGTTATCGATTGTTCTCGAGCGCATTTGAGCATTTTAACGGGTTTGTTCATGTTGTTTTGTGGTTATGTAACTTGAAGGAAATGACATGAATTGGAGTTTGGAATAAAGCTAAAGTCCCGTTTGGCATAACTTTTGCTTTTCGAAGAAGATATTTTGACTAATGTTACCTTAATTTTTGTTTGAAAATTAGTATTTAAAAGCACTTTTCGTTCCGGAAGTACTTTTAAAGGAAGTCACATTAAACCAACTTCCTCTAAAAACTCTTCTAACTATCAAAAGCAACGGATCTAAAAGCAGTTTTTAAGTCTCAAAAGCTCATTTTGACTTTTCAAAAGCCATGTCAAATGAATCCTAGTTGTTGATCATGTAAGTGGGCGTGGATTGAAGATGAAATAAGAGAAAAATAAAGTGAAGGAAATATATGGGCACCTAGGCATCCAAGAAACAACCCAGAAATCGGCAAAGAACTCGGCCCCATGCTAGCAAAAAAGCCCATCGAATCTTGAAATATGGATTTGGCTTTTGGATAAGTGTAAGTGTATAAGCAGCCTTCCACCCTGTACCATTGGAAGCATAACCTGCGATTTACCTTCCTCACGATACTCAGGGCAGGGGCGGTGGAGGACCCTTAAGGTTGGGGTTTAACCTTTTTTTAAAAAAAAAAGCCCATCGCAGCACTTGGAGTGAGAAAATTAGAATTTTTTTAAAAAAATTCGGTCCGATCCAACTCCGACTTGTCTTGAAACTTAAGGGATTACAAATACAAACTTCAAGACCTACTTTGGAGGGGGAAAACGGCTCAAGAGGCAAATAAAGAAGAGATTGATGGAGAGCAAGAACAATAACAATTAGGAGGAGAATTCAAGCGACAAATCAGTTTTTCTTATTTTTTTTTCTTCTCCATGTTCTTTTTATTTAGATTGGATTACATCGTTTTTTTTAATCATAAACTAAATTCTAAATTAGGGTTGATGTAACCAAACTTGAGACATATTTGAATTCTAATATAGTAATTTTTTTTTTCCTGTTAGTTGAATTGTGTTGACTCTAGCGCATTGCTTTCAATTACTTAATCAATAGTTAAATGATTTGATGCTTTAAACTTTGATATTCGAGAGAGGTAAATTTAGGCGAGATCTAAGAATAATATAACCTAGATTTTGTAGGTTTCGGAGAAAATATGAAATCTTTGTAGCTTATCCCATTTAAGGACTGCATACTTGATAAATTTTTTTTTTTTAATTTGAAATAGAGATATTAAAATTAAAATATAGAGATATGTTCTATTCGGCACTCGAAAGAGAAAATAGAATCAATCTAAGGTTCTTATCTATAAACTTAGGAAAAATTGATAGAAGTAAATATAAAAGTAGAAAAACATTATTGATAATGCGGTGAAATGATTCCTCGGATTTTTCACGTTGATAAATCTCTTACAATTTGCCTTATTTTACTTGAACTGTCCTACATCCATATTAGATTAGTGTCGAAATATCGATCTTAACTTAATTTTTCAGATAAAGTAAAAGTTAAAATAATCATAATACTTAGTAGAAATTAAATATCAATTCTTGTGAATTCAACACTCTAATCCTTTTCATATATTGCAAAACTTGAAACTATACACTTGCAGCATAATCACATCATAGAAAACTTATAACACTTGCCAACCAAGAACAATTTTCCTAGACAAAAGGATGGGATAATGAAAAAATAGAAGAAAGAACCATTTGCTTCATAATAAAGATATATTCAAGTAACAATCCCATCTACCATTCCTTAGTGGTTTCAATAAAGTGAAATGCTTTAAATTAGCTACAAAGCAAAAGTTGTTAATGCACATTCTTCTACCATTATTATGAATGCACTTCTCCAATTTACTTTTATCGTGATAATGAAATGCAATTCTTTTGACAATTGGACGTGAGATTATAGATTGAATTAGAAACAATCAGAGAAATCAGCCAGCTCGTATTGTAGTTGTAGACTGGTCGAGTCAAGTTGAGCTTCGTTGCCAATGGTAGTCTCAAAGTCAATAAGGTATTCAATATCGAAGAAATGAGAAAGGTGTGCAATTGTAATCTAATTTTGAGTCGCAAACAAAGTCCCCACAATTGCATCAAGAAGGGTAGGACTTAAACTTTCATCAAGAAGCAAAACAAGTTCAGCATGTTCAATGCGATAAATGTCATTCAGATGCACACTAGCAAATATTCTACATCGTTCTTTCAGGCCACTGACAGTTCAGCCATCTCTTGTTCTACAACTTCTGTTTCGACTGGATAGTATTTGTAGTGAAGTTCTCCAACATCATCGCCAGATAGCTTTGTCCATCCATTTGGTCCAACATGATAAACTGCAATAACCCCAAGATATGTTTGAACAGGTATTCGCACAGAAAAAAAAATGAGCGTATAAAGAGTAAGAAAACAAGGAGATTAAGGGGACGAGTGCATTACCGCTGGCAACACCACCACTGGCTCCATCACGGAATGTTGCATGGTAAATAGCTCGTCTAGCCAACTCTGCAGCTTCTTCAACAGACATATCATAATGGTAGCTAGACAATTACAACGAAAACAACATTAAGGTTTGCCTATAGAAATTTCATTAGATTAAAACTGAAAAGTGAATTCAGAAGTGGATAGTACTAACTAATTCCAAGTCATGGAAAAGTTAGGAGAAAAGTCATCTATGAGAGGCGCAATGTATATAGTTTATACACAATAAGAGGCAACAAGCAAAGGTGATGCATAAATTACTAGTAAAATATAGAAGTTTTGTGCAAGAAAACATTGCAGCAATTCTTGAAACTAGTTTCATATCACGATTGAGTATACAATGGTCAAGAGAAAATTGTGAAACACTCACAACAGGGAAATGAATAACTCACCCACTGTCCAAAACACCGTAAGCATATGGTGAACCAGATCCAACTGAGAATCTAGTTCCTTTCAGCCTTCCTCCTTCACTGTCCACATAATACAGGCCAGGACCCTACACCAAAGTGCCAAAGCATTAGAAACATCCAAAGGATGCAGGTCAATGGCATGGTATATTCCACCAGTTACCTTCTCATCCCAGCCAGCTATCATAGTTCCAACAGACAAACCCATTCCCCGATAAGAATAGAGAATGTTAGCCAGCAACTTTGAGGCTCCAGTTACTGATATTCTTCTCTTATTTGCCAGTTCATGCAATCGACACTAAAGTATGCAGGATCACCATCAATTAGAATTATTGTAGGGAAACGAATATAATAATCTTGTATTCGTACAGTGGAACTCAAAAACAAAGTAACAAATATAATATTTAACCATTGATGTTCAAACTGAAACCTCAAACTTAGCCGATATATACTATCTCCGGGGATGTGTTTGCACCCCAAGCAATTGCAGAAAACAAATAATAAGCCACCAAACAGCATCCAAATCATACAACTGGCAAATTCTCTAGAAACCATAAGTTGTAGCCAACTAGTTCATATAATAATGTCATAAGAATGTAACACATTTTCATGGACATTCAAAGTTTTAGATGCATACAAATGTTGCACCATTGAAGAGTTGAAAACACAGGCAAGTTAAAATTAGCAGATTCTTGCTTAGGAATTAGATTTGTATCATATTTCCACTCTCATATTACGTTGTCATCCTCTTGCACCAGGGTACACATTGAGATTTCAAACTAAAGAGGCATAACCAATCATTGCAACGATTGAGACTGCAATGGAAAATTTTCTATCAATCATCCTCATCTTATTTATTGACTTTAACGTGACAAGATATACCTATAATTATCACAGAAAATAAGTTGGGAAAAAAATTGTTCAAAAAAGGATCCAAAAGGAGAATGGGAAAAAAATGATCAAAAAAGAGTCCAAAAGAAGAATGAAAGGGATGAGAAGCTCTCCAATTCTTTATATTTATGATTAGTTTTCATTTGCCGGAATCAAAATACTATTTAAGAGTTTATAGCAAAAATCAGAATCCTTTTTAATTAGAATTTAATAGTCCAAAAATATAAAACATATCAGTTAATGCACCAGAAAAAGGCAGAAAACACGTGTTGACATTTCCATATTATAAGTTAACTCGTTTGACAAGCTGAATTTTAAAGTGATGAGAAAAAATTATTATTTTCGAGCAATATTATTCAAGAAGACATGACAGTTTAAATTGTCACAGTAATCAATGCCAGAGGAAGCAACCACCTAATTAAGAATAATGCTTTAATCTTTATAGCTATAATCAATATTTATCTTCCTTATTGACAATGAGGACGACAAATCAAACAGTATCAGAGGTAAATTCAATTCAAATACCTTAACACCCAGATTCCTGTGCCAGAACTGGCAGTCAGCAGCTCCTCCAGCCATTGTGCCAAGCATGTATGGATTAATTTCAATGATTTTCTTAACAGATTGTGATGCTGACACATACATGAATAGGCAAACCAAATCAAATATGAACATGGGAAGGAAATATGATAGTGGTTAAATAGCAAAGAATTATCAGATAAAGAATATTACTATTTACTGAATCACCAGAGAACATAATTCCATGGGAACATAACAAGAACATCCGATCTATTTTTAGTTGAACATTTCTTTATTCACCTCAATGTACCACAAGCAATCGATAAATGTCAATATATTAAACTCAGATCCATAAAATACATGAGTATGAATTTGCAACTCCCGAAAGCATAACAATATAATGCAGATATGAAACATATAAATATATAATGTCATAGCACAACTGTTGCATAGATTTCAAATGCATGCTAGTCCAGCTGATAGTTTCAGGACATCTATTTATCGTGACTCAGAAACAGATTAAATATTCTGGAGTTCCTTAAAATAAGAAAACATTTGAAGAGAATGGTCAAAGAAAAAAAATAGAAATCTCCATGAGAAATGGACGTATTGCTCAGGATATGAAGGTAAGTTGTCCCTCACTAAAAATTAGTTCTCAGTTTGAGAAAAACCCTGAGACACGGGTGCTCGAATCCATCTTATTGATCTAAAATTTGCATACATTCTGGCAGAATTTTCATTGCATTGATTTAATTTAACTAATCTAAGCAGCAGGGCATCCATAGACTTGCTTCACATTCCAACAATAAGTGTTTTTTCACTAATTTATATTGTTGAATAGGAAGAAATCTTTAACCACTGCCTATGTTGCACTGACACTCAAAATAGGGCGGCATGTTTAAGTTTGACACATTTTGTGTCGTGTCAAACACCAACACTACTTGAATGCTCCATGACATGGATCGATGAGTCATATGTTGTCTATATTTTATATACATTTTAAATTCCTATCTTTTATGCCCCACAAGACATTGGCACTTTCCGTCTACACCACTGCTGAATTTTAGCGCAAGCCAGGGTGCTATGTTAATAGGGAACGCAAAGCTGGCCAGCCAAACATAGCTTTAAGTATGAAGAATCTAGAAGCAGAGGTGTCTTGAGCTAGCTGAAACATCGTTGATGGACCATCACTTCAAACACGAAGGAAGAATCTAGATGAAACTAGTGCAAGCAACACCTTAAGCTTGATAGAAGCTTCTAGAAGGCAGCTAGTACAACATATTGGTGAAGTTATCTAGAGAATGCTATGTTGGTATTTTTGTAGAACAAAGAGGCAACATTCTAAGAGGCAAAATATAAGATTACCTGATACTCTGACAGTTCAAACTTCACATGCAAGGAGTCCAAACGTCACATGTAAGGGAACAAAGAAATAGAGACCAAAGAAGCTAGCATGTCCATGAGCATAGAGCACAACCATGTGGCTAACTTATTGTTAATGGTACATGTTAAAGCCTTTTAATATCGATGTCAGAAACTGATTAAGAATTTTACTTTGCTGCGTTGAATTGGAGCTTCAGAATTGGAACTAAAAAACCACAGTTAAACTACAGATATAATTCTTTTTCAAGACTCAATTTTCATCTCCAAATTCCTTGCAAACAAACAAAACTACACAAACATTCAGGTCCCTACACATTGAATTCCTTAAGACAACCCTCAAAATTCAAAATGCATCTTAACATTTATTACATGCCAAACCAAGCACTCAGTCAAAAAGGCTCACATATATATCCTCCCATGCTAGCACGCGAATCAGCAGCAACCATAACACCTTCCTTGAAAATAAAAGCTAGGGTAGTGGTTCCCTTTGCTGGCTTCACCATTTGGACGGCTTCTCTCTGAAACCCATCAAACTAAAATATCCCCAAAAAATGAGCATAAAGATTCTACACAACACTAACCAAACAGAAACAATTAAATCGGAACTCACATCACCAGTAATAGGAAGTTCAAACGAAAGAGGCTTTGAGATCTCGTCATGCTCTTTGATTACGCAAAGTGAGGCCAAGGGTTCCAGTCCGCTAAAGTCAATCGTCATCATTCAACTTTTTTCAACTGAAAATTAATCAATAAATTCTACATTAACTATTTATTCAGTTTACGCTACAACTGCAGCACATTATACAGTCACAGCATATTATTAAAACATAAAACCCAGAGATAGAGATAATTATAAGATTGTGAAAAATTCTATAGTCTCGGATTAACTA